TAGAGAAAAAGGCTTTTTTTTTTTATTTGGGGGGCGGGGGGGGGGGGCGGCAGGCAACAGTGTCTCATCAATGTGTATAAATACCTGACAGGAATGTGTAAATATAGAGCCAGGCTCTAGTGTATCCAGTGACACAGTCAGAGGCAATGGGCACAGACTGAAACACAGACGGCTCCATCTGAACATTGAGAAATGCTTTCTTACTGTGAGGGTGACCAAGCACTGGCACACGCTGCCCAGAGAGGTGGTAGAGTCTCCATCCATGCAGATATTCAAAAGATGTCCAGACACAGTCCTGGTCAACCTGCTGCAGGTAGGCCTGCTTGACCAGGGGGAGACAAGACAACCTCCAGAGGTCCCTGCCAACCCCAGCCAGTCTGTCATTAAGTGAAGTAAAAAGGGAAGGAAGTCCTCTAACAGAAAAGCTGTTATCAAAAATGCCCCACAAGCTGCATTAGGGACGACTCTTAAACTCTACTATTTCTGCTCAGTCACATAAAGAAAATCAACTGAATGTTTATTTTCAGTTAAATCAAGTAGGGTAAAACTCACTGGCACTTTCTATCACATCAACAGACAAAATGGTAAACAATGAAAACTGGAGTACAAGTATGAAGTTGCAAGAAGTTTTATACTTGCAGTCATAATAGAACTATTCAAGAAAGATAAAAAGCATCTTTTCCTAAAATGCAAAGAAAAGTTCCTGGACATGGTTGCTATCTGGACATCAAGAAGCAGCAAAGAAACCCAACAGGTTGAGGACACATATCAGAAACCACAAGGTTTTCTCAAACACTGAAAAAAAAAAAAAAAATCAACAAACTTTTACATACTCACTGACTTGCCTTCTCCAAGCTCATAGCACTATTTCAATCTTTCTCTAAACTGCATTTCAGACAGATACCCCTTGGCACTTACCTCATGTTCAAAACACTCAAATTCATTCAGTGGCTACTAAAAGAAAGTGAAACACAAGACCAGGAAGTGCAGTACTGCTTGGCCTCATCACATTTAATCACCCAAAGCTAACACCAGTAACTTATGTCCATCTTATGTCAGACTCCAACTTGATCACAAGTCAGCGATCCGAAGAATGTGTGACTGAAAGCTGAAATAAAAACCCAGTAACAGAACACATCTGTCCCTTGGGGTACAACCCATCAAAAGCACAGGACCAGAATTTCTCAAATACAATATATATTATATACAGCCTGAGAGCACAGTAGGGTTTGGCACCAGAATTCCTTTCAGATTCGTTTTGCTGAAACTCCATCTAAGACAACATCCAAGTTTGAAAATCAAGGAATAATGTAAATAGAGAAGAAAAAAAAAAAAATCAGCAATAGCCTTCAAATACTGGGAAACAGGGACAATGGGATAATACAAGATATTGGTCACATGCTTGCCATAAAGCAGCTATGATTCAGTTAACATTTAGAACCAAAGAGAAAGAGGAAACAACAAGGCTTTCAGAAGCCATATGCTTCATTTTATATTATTATATCCACCATCCTCAAAACACTTAACAAAACTTATACAGTAGGAAAAAAAAAAAATGTTTTCTTTGCTCAAAAACAATGTCAATATGTTCTCTAAAGCATCATCCTACTTCCAGGAACAGTATTTTAGTCATAAGAAATACAACTGAAATGTTCTAGATGAAACCTACACCACACACCGTAAAACTGCAGAGATACTTCCTTTCTCTACAACTAACCATTAAAAATATTTAGGAATATGATCATAGCTACTGAATTCAAATTTTATACCTTCAACCACAGGGCTGCTTAACAGCAGCCTAGACAGACTTTTTTTTTCCCCCCCACCATTAAACCAGGTTAAAAAAAGTGCAACCTGATGATTCAAATCTGAAGGTTAAGAAAGTAGCTGAGCTGTGTTTTCTTCATTTAAATTTGGATTCAAATACTGAACGATTCTATAACACAAATTCCATTGAAGCCGCATCTTCTGCAGAGCTGGAATAAACTGTGTTGCCTGTATGATAAAGCAAAAAAACGAATCATTGAATTCGCCATAGGAGTAATACTTTAGGCAAACCTTAAGTCTCAAGAAAGATCAAAGCTCTCTCAGTATGGGAAATATTGCGTTGTTTTTAATGTAAAATGCTACACTCAACCAGGTTAATGACTCCTCCAAGCTCACGTGTTAGAGGACTGATTTTAAAAGCTGGGGAGGTAGAGAAAAAAAACTTGACAAGTTTACTTTCAAAAGAAGCCATGTATCTTGCAGCTTTCATGAAGACAGCTGGACACAAGAAAAAAAAAAAAAGAGAAATTCAAGAGAACTGAAAGCATAAACAACTTCATCCAAGGGAACACCACAAAGTTGTTCATATAACCTATCTTACAAGATTTACAACCTAGAGAGAACACAAATAAAACTATATGCTCAGCAAAATAGTTGTGATGTAGTACAAGCAAGATGAGCAAGCCATGAGATCTTAGGCATCAGACTGTAACACCTCTAATCTATCTGCCTTTAGTCACTGTTTACCCTTTGTAGCATTGAGAAGTAATGAGGGGGAAAGGCTGATGGTACCACACCAGTGAAATGGACTGCAGGAGCCCCAGGTGGACGGGGAGTTCTGACAAACTGCCACTTTAGATGGCCAAAATTAAAGCACATGGACTTTCATGTTAGAGCAAAATGGATAAACCCTTTGTACAATCTTTGTAAAATATGAACCTTAAGTAATTGCAAAGGAGCTACTTCACAACCTTACATCTGGCTCTCATTTTAATGAGCATAACCTGTTTAGGGATGTTATATGAAAAACAGTACAAGTCCAAACTAGGTCTTCTCTGAAAAGTGAAGATGATGCAGTGGGCTACAAGTGAGCAGACAGTATCAGGTTAAAAAAAAAAAAAAAAAAAAAAAAAAAAAACAAGAAGAAAAAGCTCCAGAAGATTAACAATGAAGTGGATATTACTTGTATTTCCTCTAGCACATTCCATTCAATACTTTTGAAGCAGACAAATACAACAGTTTCTTTAATCTGTCATCATAAAAATGGGACAAGTCACTTGGCTTCTCTTTTACCAAGGTCATACGAGGCTGCTGCAAACCTAAGCACATAACACAGGTCTTCAGTGTTAAAACACGAGGCACACTGCTCACGTGCTTTAACCAAGTAAGAGACAAAGATAAATAGATAAAAGATTAATAAAAGATACAGGGTTGTATTCCTATTCTTTCATGAAGAACCTATTCCAAGTACTGGCATTAAACATTACTGAAATTGTAAGTAAACATTAGTATTGATAGTATTACTATTAGTAGTAATTATTAACAGAGTATTAACAATGTATGATACATACATTTCTCAAGCACTATTAATCAGCATACTATTCTTCTACAATCACTATCACTAGGGGGGAAACCAGCAACAAATACAAAATATACCAAAAAATGTCATTTTATGAGGCATCACATAAAGTAACAGTCCTACAAAATAAATGTAAAACATCAAAAATGCTTCTAAGTTCTAAAATGGTAGCTTGAAAAATGGAAGAACTAAAAAAAAAAAAAATAATTACAGAATAGCACCTTCTGGTAACAGACATTTTTTTTGTTGTTGTTGAGTTTTCCCTTAGCTTCCTTACATTTCAGTGGTGAGTCTAACTCCAAAGTCCCCTCGAATGGTCAAATCCTTTTGCAAGTCATGGTACCAGGAGCTTTTTTGAGAACTGGCCAAAACAATGCAAATGAAATGGCCTAAATTTCTGAATTTCCATGCTTCTGTTTTTATTACTATAAACACTTTTAAAAATCAATACGCTGATAAAACTGCAACTAGAACAAAGCAGAATAGAGCTTGCCCAATTCCCACTCCTCCCTCCCTCAAGTTACCAAGATTGTTGAGGTTATAAACACAAAAGCTGGCTCATTTTCCAGACTCTGCATCAAAATTGGTTTACACCAGTTAATCCAGTTTCTCCATGTAACCCTCCAGGAGTCCCAAAACATCATTAATGCTGGAAAGTGATTTAGCCTTGCTTGCTTTCAATTTACCTAGTATAAGGTTAAAAATAAATTCTTTAAACAAGTCAGGTCAAACCACCACAGAGAGATTGGGCCCAGCTATAAATACTGAGTCAGCCAGGTAGGAATCCAAACCCAGATTCCACTAGAGAACGTGATATAACCAAGGGAATTGCTAAAAGGGTCTGGTAAATATGAAAAAAGCAAAGCCTCAGAAGGCTGAGTTGTTGCTGTTTGTTGTAAAGGGCTCCGTTTCAATGGCAAGCACTCCTCCTCTGGGCCTGCACATCCTCCCCCCTCCCTTCCCTTCACACACATCCAGCTCCAATTTCTCTTCTTGAAAAAAACAGCTGCTCCTACACCAGGACAGCCCCTCTGCTTCACCAGCCGCCACAGGCCCAGATGCTATCACCTTGATCTACTGCTGTATTATAAGCATTCAGCATTTACTCAATCTGAGGTGACTAGGGACCAATTGCTGCTTGGTAGCAAGGGATGAAGCGAGCTGGCCCTCGTGAGCTTCCCCTTACATAGCTCCACTCCAAACCCAAAGTTTCTGCTCCAGAAGACTGCATGTCCTTTTGAACATAACCAAGAGGGCTCTGCACGTCCATGCTCTGACGTTAACACACCTACAAGAGAAGCTTCAAACCAGGTTCACATGGAGCAGCTCCCAGGTGGCATTCAACAGCACTGCAGACATTTCAGCACATATTTTTAAATGTTTCACATCACAGACTTCAGAGCCTTGCCATCAGGCTCAAAGGTGAACGAGGTCCCTTTCTATATCCAGTTTCTTGCAGAAGGGTTTCTACCAGTTCACTTTCCTGCTGCAATTTTCTTCAGCAACAACAGCAATCGCAGAAGAGCTTTTTTTGTTTGTTTGCTTTTAAATGCAACATAAGCCAAGCCAATAGCAAAGCCCGGCCCTGACTTCCAATTCTGAACAGCCACGAGTAATCGGGGGTGAGGAAGGACTAGGTAGAGAAGGTTAACAGAAAGAACGGTTCATTCATTGCCATGTCCTCAAGTAACCTACTGTTGCTACCAAGATGTTATTGTCAGTGAATTCTGTAGCTGTGACCGTGACACGGCTGCCCTACCCCACCCCCTACCAGCGAGGGAGCACCCAGGAAGGAGATACGTTAAGACAACATGGAAGTAAAACCCTACACAACGCACAAACCAATAGTTATTCACCCACTTGTTCCCTTCCTGTGCTGCCAGCCCTCCTTTGGCCTGACTCAAGACTAGGAAGGGGCCCAAAGGCACGCCCCTCTCCACCAGCCCCACTCCTTCTCTACATGGTCTAGCTGCAACCCCCCCCCTTTCCTCACACCCCCAGCCCAAAGCGCCAGAGGCACGAGCTCGCTCGGAGAGAAACAGCGGGCTGCGAGGTGAGAAACAAGGGGGATGAGGTGCAGCGACCCGCTCCCCCACGCAGAAGAGGGCGGAAAGGTAACCCACCTCTCCCGGCACCCGCTGGGGGTCGGGTGGGCTCCCCCTACCCACAGGAGCCCGGGCGGGAGCTGCTCGCAGCCGCGGCCTACTCAGCGGCCCCTACCCGCGGCCCTGAGGAGAGGGGCGGAGGGGGGGGGGGGCGGCAATCTAGGGCAGGGCGAAGCTTCCCCGGGGCGGCTGTCAGGAAAAGTAGGGCAGAGCCAGCTCCCCACACACACATACACTCCTCCTCCAACCCCTCCGCGGCCGGGAAGGGGCGGCAGGCACCCGCCGCCGGACAAAAAGCTCCCACCGGGGACGGGGAACCGGCCCCGGGAGGCGGCGGGGCGGGGGGGTGACGAGCCCGTCCCGGGGCCTCCGGCCGCTGAGGCGGCAACGGCCACCCCCGGGCCGCTGGGCGAGGGAGGGGCGCCGGGCCGCCGCCGGGGCGCGCGGGACCATCACCTCACAACCCCCCCATGCCCGAACCTTCCCCCCAACTCCCACCCCCCCGCGGTCGCGCGCGGCCCCGGTCCCCCGCGCGGTACCTGCCCAATGTGCTCACAAAGCAGCAGTAGCGGCGGCGGCGGCGCGCGGCGCCCACCAGCGTCACGTGACCGTCACGTGACCGCCAGCCTGCCTGCCTGCCTCGCTCGCTTCTTCCTCCTGCTCCTCCTGCTCCTCCTCCTCCTCCTCCTCCACGCGCGCGCGAGGCCGCTCCTCCGCCACGTCACGTGACGCGACGGGCACGCATACACACAGCACCCGCCTCGCCCCTCACACAACCGCTCTTCCGTCTACCGCGGCACCACGTGACCGCGGCGGAAAGGGGCGGGGGGGCGGCCGCTCTGAGGGGGCGGCGGGAAAACGGCGGCCTGAGGGGCGGAGGCGGCCACCGGCGCTCTGGGCGGCTCTCACCGGCCCTCAGCGCTGGTTCGCCGCCGCGGGAGGCCCCGGGGGCAGGCTCCTGGCTTCGCGGCGTGCGGGGTTGACGCGCTCTGTCAGGCGCGGCTGTTGGGAGTCGCGGCTCAGCGCCTCTGTTGCCGGCGGAAGGAGCGGTGCGAACCAGGAACTTTTCGTTTTCAGGCTTTCCTTCTTAAAGTGGCTTTTATTTTCTGCCCTGCGGGGTTTTGGCGGGACTGATCATGAGTGGTTTATGCCACAGATTAAAGCCTGTTTGGGCTGACAGATTAAGTTCATTACGTTTGGTGCTTCGGTGCCAGTGACCAAGCTGAGCCAATACGAGTTCTGGGCTTTCTAGAGCTCCCTTGTTACGTCTCTAGTTACTGTTCTCATGGGGGGGCTTTATCCCAGACCTATTTGATAACCTACACAGTCTGCATGACTACAGAATAAAAAGGCTCCATCACCTTCTCTCTCCACAGTTGCTGAGACCAACACCTGAGCAGTCTGGAAATGGGAACCAATTCTGCACTTAACGTTCATTTATTTTAAATGTTAACTGGACACAGCCTCCATTGACATGAAAGAATCCCAGAACTAAGGATAGCTGCACCACGGGAGGAAAAGGGCAAGGAGAGTGTGCTAGGGACTAATGGAGAACAGCAAGGGGTTGGCACAGCAGAGGTATGTCAGAGCACTCAGTGCAGCTTCTGGCAACTTCAACTGAACTGTGACAGGACAGATGGCAAGACAGGAAGGTTGCTTGACTCCCCAAGAGAGGAGTTTCAGGTTGTAAGCCAGGAAAAAAAAATAACTTTTTCCCTTTAGGCTTTTTCTTGCTGTGCATTTTTCCCACCCTGTACATCACCTCTGGTTGCCCAAAATGCAGTGGTTGTACCCTTCTGGCATCCCTTCTTTTTAGAGCCTGTCATTTTAAGGTGTAACTTGCTTAACCTATGTGGAAATCGGTCCCTGTTTGGCACTCTGCTGAGCAGACAGTGTTGAGGAAGGTGATGGGTGCACCAGACAGCAGACAGTTCAGCCCCTGGTGCCTCCAGTGATAATGGTTGTTGATGTTTTCTTTGGCCTTATTTTCTTTACTGCTGTTCGGTCATCCTCTGTCCCTTGACCCCATACTCTCCACATAAGTAGAGAGGGCATCAAATCTCATTTTGCCCTAAGCAATATGTGAAAATTATTCAGTCTTGTTCATGCTTCTGCCTTCTCTGCTAGGACAGAATAGACAGATTTAAGTGGCTTGTGTCTGGGACTGACCTTGATATTTAATATATAGATGGGCAGGAGCTACGACAGTTCCTACTTCTCAGAAGCAGCAAGACCTCCCTATTTCCATGTTTTCCCAATAAGATAGAAGGTCTGTTAGAGCTAAATTGAAATTCAGACCAAACAGTGCACAGGTAGTGTTGATTTTCTTCAGGCAGCTGCTGATATTTTGCTTTATTACTATTGGGGGGAGGGAATTCATTATAACTCTAAACAAAGTTTCACGAGCTTTCTGACAAACATGTCTGCAGCTCCATAATCTGTGCAGATCTAATCAGTATTATTAGCATTCTTTCATCATGACTTGGCAATTCTTTGCTAATCAAGATGGATATCTGATGTGCAGCACAAAACAACAAAGGCTGCGAGCTCTTGGGATGCTGCAGTCAGATGGTGTGGTGCCAGCTGGAGCATGTCGCTGAATATCACACAGAATCCAGCCCAGGAGCATTTGGAATAGGAGAAAATTAAACAAGGATACCAGGACAAAAGCATTGTAGACTCCCCTCTGCTGTACACAGAGTACATATAAATGAGAAAACATCATATTTCACTGCCAGCGCTTCCAGGGGGAACCTAAAGGAATAAACTGATGGCAGCTCAGGGACATAGACCGTCACTCCAAATATCCAGTACATCAGGCTTGGAGAGGAGACCCTGCACTAAACATGGTGAAGGTTTGACCAGGCCTGACAGCAAATTCTGCCTACTACCTGTGTCAGGACTTTATCTGCTGTTACAAAGATTTGCGACCTTTTCAGTTTTCCAACTACTAAAGAATAATCCAGTGCAGGTGCAAATCCCACTGGACCGTATGTTTAAGCTTACTCCAGGCTTGCTTTTCTCCGTCACCTCCTGCAGATTTCTTAAATAGCCTGCAGTCCACATGCCACAAACTGGAAAACACCGTTCTGGCACTTTGGTGTTCTACTTGCCGGTCACATTTGGGAATGGGGGAAAATCGCATGTGTTCAGAATATCACCCTGTTCCTGGTTCAGAAGTCTGCTCTACTTCTGTGTTACAGCAACAAAAGAAAACCATCTATTCTTCACAGGCTTGGACTGCAGTACATCTTCCTTCTCTTCTACTTTCCACACTACCAACCATTGCCCCTCAGACTCACTGGACAATTGGTCCAACTGAGCTGAAGCTCAGATCAGTTTTTCACAATTTAGCCTGAAGTTTTTATTTTATTTGTGCCTGTTTTTTTGCCCAGTTACATAACTGGGTCTAATAAAAATACTGCTTTTCTCTGCAAACTGTTCTCACAGCCTTAACTCGTGACACCTGCATCAACAGCAGAACCTTTCTTCAAAACGTACTCCAGTAGTCTCAGCGAGACAATGTAATCCAGTCATACACAGACTCTGTAAGGGAGAGGCTCTGCACGAAGAAACCAAGCTTGACTTTCAGGTTTGAGTTGAGTTTGCAGGGAATTAGGAATACTCTCTGGTTATAGTGGAACAATTGAAAATCTTGGATGCAAAGTGGAGTTGCCTCAAGAGATGTTAGCCTTGGGCATACCAGGGATTGCTGCTGCATCTGAACTTGGGGTGAAACTCATAAATATGCTATCTAGAAGTGTGATCCAGTGCATTAGATTGTGTTAATACACATGCAGAAGCAGGACCTCAGCAACAATTGTAATTGAAAGGGTTGACGTTTCAGTTGTGGAAGCAAGCCCTTCTGGTATGGATGCCATTCACGATACTGAAGGCAGGAAGGGTAATGATACCATTGTGTCTAGCCTTCATACAGCCCAGGCCATTAAAATTCCCAACATCCATGGGCTACATTAGTCTCTCATGTGTCAGCATCATCCTGGGAATTCATGTTGGACTGCTAGATCATCCTTTGGAGTCAGTGCGTGCCTGGAGACAGATCCTCTTATGTAGGTGCCCCCTGCAGCTCTTGGTCCAAGTTTTCTCACACCTTGTAATTTGGCTGTATGAAAAAGGTGATGCATTTTCATGTGGCCAGAATCTGAATTTCCTGTGTACAACCACATTAACCCCATTGGTTTTTTCCATTCCTTCAACTTTTTTCGCAAAACATTTTACCTGTGATCATTTTGTAGTTATTTCCAGACTGCTGAGACAGTTCAGCACATCTGAGTCTGATACTGATCCTGCAGAACCTCTGTATAAACACCTGTTTCAGGGAGGATGTTCACAGTCAATCTGTGTAGTGCGTGCTCTGCTAATGGTGAGTACTGAGTTTGTTCTGTCATACTCCCTGATTTAATTCTGTGGTGTGCCTACTGTTAACTGTACCAATCTAATCTCTAAGAATTAAATAGGGTTTTGTTAAACAGATTTCCTTTCCATGCAACCCTGTTGCCTGGCATTAACCTTATATCTAGCCTTGAATTCTTTATTAATCAAGTCCATTGCCAGTTTTCCGTTATTTTGCCTATAACATCAAGAAAAGTAGTCCGCAGGTATCTGGTCGCCCCTCTGTGCCCTGCTCAAACAGTGGCATGCTTCCAGCCTCTTAAAATTTCCAAAGATTAAAATTATCTCCATGAAGCCGTAAGTTTCCCCAGCCAGGTCTTAAAGAACTTGAGGGGAAGGGCTGGACTAGATCATCATTAAAGGTCCCTTCCAACCCACAGGTCCCTTCTGACCCAAAACATTCTACACTTTTGTGAACTCGTGGGTGTAGTCACCT